CACCCTTGTTTATAGATGTTGGAGATCGGCCTGTTTTCCAGTGTGGTCCTGTTTCTCTGGCCGTGACTGAGTGGATGTGCTCTCTTCGTCCTCTGGCATGGGAGCCTCCTTGGAGCTCGTCTGCCTGGCTGTGTGTTTCCTGGACGGGGCCGCCTTTTACAGCTGCTTTTTGTATCTCTGCTTCTGTCTCCTTGAACCCCAGTCGGCCTCGGCAGATGGCCGCTCACACTGAGCCTGGTTCTGCTGGAGGTTTCTTCCTGTTAAAAGGGAGTTTTTCCTCTCCACTGTCGCTACAAGCATGCTTAGTGTGAGGGATTGTATTTGAGTCAATGAGTCAACGCAATCAACTGGTTTTCCTTAGATAGAAAACTTTGTATCAATTTGACTGTATGATCTGGTTGAACTGTAAAGCGCCTTGAGATGACATGTGTTGTGAATTTGGCGCTATATAAATAAACTGAATTGAATTGAATTGAATTGTCGTTCTATCTTCATCTGTTATTTCTCACTATAATAAAGGTTTGATTGCAGTAATGTGAACAGGATCTGTTTGTATTTTCTGGTAAAGTGTTATGAAATAAGTGGTTGTAAATTGATTCTTTATAAATAAACCAAACTGAAGTCAAATGGAGCAAGAGTCCTAATATTACTATAGTACAGCGCTTTGGCAGATCTGGGCGTTAAGCAGCAGAGCAGACAGGACACATCAACACTGAGCCACACAAAGAACAACAAAAAAATATAGTAGGATAATTAAAGATTAATGTTAAAATAAAACAGTAAAAAATTCAATCAACTAGGAAGATAGCAGGAACTAAATGTTTAGTGAACCCAAAGGCAAACAGCTTTGGTTAATTTGAATAAAACTAAAACGTTTTAAGGTGATTTCTCTACTTTAAACTATACCTTTATATCTCTACCATACTTGGTCCCTCAGGGTTGCATTGCTCACTCTTTTTAGCAGAAACCAACTACCGGTAGTTCATGTTTCCGGCTCTATATTCTATCAGAGGAAAAGGGGAAAATGGATTTAAATGGATTGATGATCCTAAACTCACATTTAAACTGGTTTTGGAATATATAAAGCAGCTTTAAATTAACATCTGGAACCTCGGCCATTGTCATGTCTGGGTGATCACGTTTAAGGCTACGTTCACACTGCAGGTATTAATGTACAGTTCTGATTTTTTTAACAAATCTGATTCTTTTGCGTGGTTGATCTCATTTCCAAATATGTAGTCTTCTGTGTGAACTAAATTCATTCAACTTAGGTGTCACAAGGGAGCGTGTTCTATGTTTACAGAAGTAAACATGGAAGGTAGAGCTGGAGCGCATTTGCAGTCTTTCATTTCTTTCCCAGCCTCAGCCTGCCATTTTGACCCGGGAGCAGAAATACACATTATACATTTTCTTATTTCGAGTGCATACCTAAATATCTCATTATAAAGGCAGAAATATTAATTCCATTGATGGATCATCCTATTTACCAACTCAAAATAATACACTTAAGTAAAAAAATTATCATTTTCATTTTGTTGTTTTTGTTTAATCTTTTGCAGTTTAATGCTGGAGATGGCAAAACTTCTGTTATTACCCTTAATTAAAAAAAAACAACACAAAATGGAGCTGTGTACAAATAAAAGATTTTAAAAAAAACACAAAGCAAAAAAATATACTCTGTAAGTAAAATAAATAAATGTGAATGGTGATGGTGAAATTGCTTGAATTAAAGGGTAGGTTGTTTCAAAGGTTCGTCCGTGTTTTGTTTGCTCCTATAAAAGACATTGATCTAAAGAGTTTGTAAAAATCTTCACCAGGAACACCAAGGAATGTGACCTCTTGGTGTTTGCAGCTGCATAAACTGTGTTTGGTATTAAGGGCATTAATCTGGTTGTTTTAGTTTGCTAATCATTTGGTAGATCATGGTGATTTGGTGATCATTTTGACAGTTTTGATGAAAAAAAGTTGTTTGTAGAAAACAGGCAGGTAAGTAATCACCTCCACATTTAAGCAGTTTGTTTGATCCCAAGAGAGGTCCACATTTCTTTCCTATTTTTTCTAGATTGCTCAGTGTCTAAGAATCGGCATCTATGTGCTGGCTGAAAACTGAGACTGAGAACTGGTAAAAGAACCATATGACCGCCCATGTGCATAATGAGCTACCTAAGACCTACCTATTTATACTGTGAAACATCCACATCCCAAGCTAATATTAATGAACTCATTAAGTGAATGACTAAACAAATCCTATTCTAAATAACAAATCAAAATAAATAATCCAAATTCTAAGATTTAACAAAAAACTTGAGAAATAGCTCCTACCCTCCAGCCCCTAATTGTGCATTAAATCACAATTATATCTCTAACTAAAGGAGCTATTCTAAAAACCTCAATAATACTATATTAATACAAAGACATGAATTATTCTTTGTTCTACGTTTTCATAATAATGAACCTGCAAGAAAATAAAGAAAGAAGAGAATAGAAGGAATAGGGATGTCTTTAGTCTGTAGATGCCTCCAGGAGCAGACAGAGTTTTGTCACTGGCCTTTCCAACACACTGGTTTTGGTCTGAAGTTGCACTTAACGAACCAGGCCTCATGCATCAGCTTTGACTGCCAGGACTCTCCCCATCTGCCAACATCCTCTGGCTGCAGTAGCATCTGCGATCAGGACAATGTCTCCAGGAGAGATTTTCTGTTCCCTTTCATCCAGTTTGTCTTTCCTGCAGTAATTGCAGATACTCAGAGATCCATCTTTTCCAAAATAGTTCAGCCATATACTGTACTTGCTTCCATCTGCGCCTGGGGTACAGGTCTCGTTTCTGAAACAGTCCAGGTGGCAGAACGGGTTTCCTCTTTAATGTCAGAATGTGATTTGGTGACAGGGCTTCTAAATCATTTGGATTCTCAGAGACCAAAGTGTCATGATTTTATCCAAATATCTGACCCAAATGCAGAAAATCAAACAGAGACCAGGGGAAGGTTAAACAGGTTTATTATGAGCTGGTAGAGAAGGGTCCAGTGCTGCTCTGAACACTGGCGAACCGAGACTAAAATGTGAAGAGGAAGATCCTGCGGTTAGTTCAGGCTCAGAGGGAAATTTGTGTTTCGATTTGTAAAAGTGAATAAAGGCTACAGGACTCACGTTTCCAGAAAAGGTGTCTTTCTTTTAATCCAGTATGTGTGGATTGTTCCAGTAATTGACTTGCTCGTTGGAGGGCGGACAGGGTTTACCCAGGATGAGGTGTTTCCTTGAGGAACGGAGGAGCTGACTGCCATTTAGATTTCCTTTGGTACTAGAACATTTTCTTGTGGAGATGAATCCCCTGCTCAGTGTGAAGCCCAAACAATCCTTGTGGAAAAGTTTATCCAAACCACCTGTTTGAATCCTCAGCTCAGTTTGATGCTCAGACAATCCTTCCAGGGGGGAGAAGGTTTAAAACATCCAGTTTGCAGGATGACTTCCTGCCGAGAGGCACTGATTTTAGGCATGCTTCTGTCATCAAAGGTGCTGACTGTCCCTGGTCTGCTGCTGTTTGATGGTTTTCCTCATCGCTATTCTTTACTAATGCTGGCTCTGTGTCCTCATGCTGGTTGATCTGTTTCTCTCCTCCATCCTCCTTCTCTCTCTCCTCCCTCCTCCTTCTCTCTCTCCTCCATCCTCCTCCTTCTCCTCATCCCCCACTGTCACAGCCTGTATGGCGGATTTCCCTGCTGCCCTCCCACAGGAGTCTGGGTCTGTCAGTGGAGCAGCTACCAGGCGATCCACCCGGACCTGGACAGCCTACTGTCCGGATGAAACAGTGTGGTCACTTTAGATAAAAGCCATGTGAGACACACAGATGAGATCAACAGATATTGATCTAGTTTGCTGCTGCGGTACATAAGAAATAACCTTGTTTGGAGAGCTTTGATCTAATGCACTTCTCCCAGATACTGTTATTGATATACACTCACATATATGTGGACAGCTGATAAAAAAAAAAGTCTCTTTTGATGCACAGACAGAGAGACGGTGAGAGATTTGAAAATCATGATTACAATAAATAACGTACAAAATTAGGCTACATAGGAGTAAAATTTGACTCATTACATGTTACACGTTTCTTTTGTGAATATTAATGTGTTGCATATAACCAAAATATGTTTTACTTAATTACTAGGAAGAGAACCGGTAAGAACAGTAAGAATATTATAAAGAATTATAAACTATTTTTCTAATCATCACACATTTTACCATCAAAAGATAAGATTTTTATATGTATAGATGACGCTCTTGTCTGACCAAAATTACCTGGATTGTCCAAAAATAAACACACCAAGCTTTGCCAACTGCCCAGTCCTAGTGTCAATCTGTGAATTAAGCGTGACAGATTAGTTGTTCCACTCAAAATTAATTTAACAAAAAGAAAAACATATCAGGTCATCATTTGATCCAATTCCTTGGGTTAAATCGTTCCAGTCCAGATGAATTCAAAATCAAATACATTAGTTTCAGCCTGGAGTAATCAGAATAACTTAAAAAAAAAACTGATAGAATATTGTCTGTGAAAGAAGTCCAGCAGTATCTGTCTCTATTTAAGCCTTTGGTGATAGAGGAATGAAGAGCTTTGGACAAGTGAGTATAATATATCAGCATAAAGTATAATAAATCAGCATAGCACTATGATTAAAAGTCACTTCTGCATAAACTGAGACACTCTAAATGGAGAGTTCATGGAAAGTTGAAATTATATTGAAATTGATTATATTGGTGCCTCAATACTATTACTTTTCTCTCTGTACTGCAGGGACCTCAGATATTGGAGCAATTCATAAAAGACAAATGACTATGATGATAAACAGGTGTTCAGAACTGCAAATAAAACGCCAAGTACTGTAAAATACTTTTTTTTCTTCACCTTAATCCAGTTCCATTCAAAAGACTTGTCTAGGTAAAAGACGGCGCACTCATATTTTAGTCCAGGAGGAGGCGCTGTTACTCGCTATGAACCGCTTAAAAAGAGGAAGAAGAGCTTCAACAGGAAGAATAACAGCAGTCGGCAGCAATCACAAAGGGAGGAGACAGGCGGTGTCTGTGTGCTATTCAGGATGGAGGAGTACAGCTCTGGGGATGATGTAAACTTGTTTTTTATATCAATACAGTCATAAAAAGCTCTATAGTCAGTCTGCTGAAATTTGTATCGGTTTGTTAAACCATTTAGCTGTCAACAGAGTCAGTTAGCTGATGGGTGTGGTTGACCTCAGCATCAACATCTCTTTAAAGATTGTTATTGTCGGGCGGTATGATGTTATAAATAATAGATGTCATTGATCATTTATTAAATATTTATCTCTCCTTAGTGACCGTTGATGGGTTAATTATGCCAATCGAGGTGTGCATTATCACAAATAAAGATTTCGCGGAGGCAAACTTCTTCCAAAATGAACATTTAAGCTATAATTCAAAGTTAATATTTTCAGTATATATATATATATATATATATATATATATGTATGTGTGTGTGTGTGTGTATTTTAACAAAATCCGGGTGAATGGACTAGCTTATTTAACAAAAAGCGTTTCCAAGGTAACCGTTTCTAACCGCAGCTGTCTAGTTACCAACCACCCAGCAGCTGGTCATATATACACCAAAATGTATATATTTAGGGATTAAATAAATAATTGCCACTCATAGAGGTGTACTGATTTCAGGGATAGATTTATACCACAAAATGTAAGCCAGTTAAACAGAGAGGTTACTATATATTTAAATAGAGAAATGTTCTTTTATGAAAGCTGCACAGTAGAGCAGTGGGTGGCGCTGTTGCCTTGCAGCAAGACAGTTCCAGCTAGATCTTCTGCATAGAGTTTTCATTTTCTCCCTGTGCATGCATGGGTTCTCTCTGGGTACTCTGGGTTCCTCACACAGTCCAAAACATGACTACTAAGTTAACTGGTATCTCTTAATTGTCCTTAGGTGTGAGTGTGTGTGCCCATGGTTGTATTCCTTTGTGTTGCCCTGTCACCATGGATGTAATGTTGGGGAGGTACAGGGGGGACATGTCCCCTGCAATTTTTCAAATGTCAGTTTTGGTCTCCTTCACTTTTACTGTCAAAAAACAGTGTTATGCTACAGTACACAGACATTCGTCTTGCACTAGGACCAAGAGGAAAAGCTCAGCTCAAGCTGAAGCCCCTTCCCTGAGTTTAGAGCGCCTACAAGCTCCTGATTGGCAAACCGTCTTTTCTTGTGTGATTGGCTGTCACCGCTGTCACTCCTGACTGAGAAGTTTGCTTTACAAACATCTGATCGGTCTTAAATCAAAATTTCATACATGCCTGCGACAGACTTGTGACCTCTTGTCCATAGACTGCCGGTGTCCCGGCCAGAATTTGTATCCCCCCGCTAGGAGCGTGCTTGGAGTTTACTCCGCTTTATTTCCAATCTACCAAACGTAAAAGTTGAGATGCGTTATTTTTATAAAAGACGAGCGTTGTTATTTTATTCTTCACTTCACATGTTATAGCAGAATATTGCCAGTGAGCACCACCCCACCATGGAGATAATAAGCTGCAGACAATCAGACTATGACATATCCACATTCACTGCTTTTTTTTCACCTCTTCACCAAGAGAAGTTTTCACAAATTAGGCTTCATTATATAATCGGCTTTTAATAATTTTTATATTCAAATACAGTATGAGTTTCAGATTTGACAACTGCAAACAGCCGATTGGAGATAGAACTTTACTACCCTGTTAAATATATTGACATGTATATATTTTATTACATATCTGCCATTATCAATTTAAAATACTAAAAATTGTCTTTTTTATCTACTGATTGATCGAATAAAGTATTAAAATAAATGAAACCTACACACCATTACTTAAGCAAACAATCTTATTTTTTAAAGGAACATCTTTAAATAAGCAACATTCATGTTTTCATTAATACTGCTCATTAGTATAAAAAACAACACAATCTGGTTGTATAAGTAATAAAAGACTTGCAAGAACAAGAACTAAACCCGGTTAAAAGGAAATTGCAGAAACCTGCTTGCAATTTTTGTGTATTCATTTTACATGAATGTTATGTTGAAGTTATATGCATTGTAGTAAATACGAGATATTACCTAAATTCCTCCCCATCTTATGTATGTGTGGTGATAAAAACAGAGAAATTAATGGTAAGAAAAGAGTGGTCTATTTGAACGTAAACAATGTTAATGCTTACTCACCTTGTTTTTTCTTCTTTAAACTATCCTCCAGGGCAACTTTAATTCTGACGAGATAAGCATCTTGGTGAAGGAGGTAACATTTTTCCCCTAAATTATGAATAAAAACTTTTGTGATATGAGAAAAACTCCTTTGTTTTTTTCTCCAAGTGTATTGAAGGAGTCATTGGTGGAACAGACTATAACCAGAACAAAATCAACCAATGGACAGCCAGTATTGTGGAGCATTCACTGACTCACCTGGTGAAGCTGGGTCGGCCCTTCAAATACATTGGTGAGCCATCATTTACATTAGCCGCATGTAGTTTTCTTCATGATTTAACGAGTATGTGCGTAACAACTGTGTCTCTTGTGATTCAGTGAATTGTTCAGTCATGCAGAAGAGTGGTGCCGGTCTCCACACAGCCAATTCCTGCTACTGGGACACTACTACCGATGGTAGGAGACAGTAAAACTTGATGTCCTTTGATGTCATTGTCAAAATCTAAGACTAAAACCAATATTAGTATTGTGTAAAACTACTTCCACAGCCTTGAACCAAAGGCTATTTCCACTGCATGCCATGAGAATCAAGAACAAATGCTAAATTTGTATGGTTTGTTATACCGAATCAGTCACAACTTCCTGAAGATGGGTGTGAAACCAGCCATGTTCAAAGAAGCTCTTTTTTTTGCTTTTTGCTTGATAAGATTGATCTCGAACTGTATCGTTTGAAACAAACAGGCTGCTTGTAGACCTGGATCTGCATTGGTTGCAGTTTCACCACACTCTGTCCTGCAGCTACAATTAATAGAATAACTTTTCCATTACCTTCTACTGAAAAAAAAAAAAAAAAAAGTTACATTTAAACCTGGCGTCAATATGCCTGATTTAAATAAAGGTTAACCTCACCAAAATAAATGGGATTGAACTAAATATCATGCACCATTTTAAAGAGGGGTAATTGAGAAATAAACAGGGAATTAATGGCTCTGCAGAGTTTTCTGTAACATATATGTATATATACATTTTGAAGCTCAACAATAGAATACCAAGTTTATGCGAAGCAATAATCAGAGCAAAAGGTGGCTACTTTGAAGACCTTAGATATAAGACATATTTTTCATTTGTTTCACACTGTACGTATATAATTCCACATGTGTTAATTCATAGTTTTGATGCCTTATGTGGGAATCTACAATTTTCCTAGTCATGATAATAAAGAAAACTCTTTGAATGAATATACACACACACTCTGTACATACTATATGAAAGCAAGTATTAGGAAAACAATGAAGCTGCATTGCATACAGGAAAATAACATTATCTTATTAGTAAACCAAAGTAAAAAATGTTAAATAAAATAAACCCAGTAAAATTTAAAATTCTGACGGTGCTTATTATAAGGTGCAGCTTTAATCAGTATAGGTTTTGTAAATGTTTGTCAAAATTTAAGATGCCTTGCATTGGTTTTTATAGTCGATATACATTTGAAATAATTCAGTTAAATTTGAAGTTTTTTTCTGAATGAAATCATTTTATGTAACTTTCTAAAGTTGAAAGGCGATCCATTGTATGAAGCATGTGGTTTATGTATTTTCAGGAAGCTGCACGGTCCGGTGGGAGAACCGCACCATGTACTGCGTGGTCAGTGTGTTTGCTGTGGCGATGTGACAGCGACGCCGAGCTGCAGCTGCTCCCCCTCCGAGCGCCGTCAGCTCTGTAGCCGTGCAGAAAGGGACATCAGGTTGTGCGATGAAATCGTCCCCGGACACGATTTCACCCCTGGGACATTTCTGTATATGTACTCTGGTGTCTGTATGGATGAAGGTTATTTTCAGAAAACCAGGCTGATAGAACTCATTGATTAAGCTAAACAAAAGCCTGCAACACAGATTTGTCAAAATTCCATTTCCATTAGTTGTACTTTGGTCGTATTTATACATATATACCATATTTCTGCATCATAAGACCAAATAAAACATTCACATTAAGATGTAGACTAAATTTTCTGATAGGGCACAGTGGATTAAGGTGTATAGAAAATGTCTTGTTTTAGTAAATAGTAATTTACTTCTATATTGCTTTTTATAACTGTACATTGACATTTCAATTTCATTTCTGTACAGGTAGTGTAGATGCATTTTCTAATTTTCTGGGTTAAATTCCATGAATGCAACAAGAAAACTATTTATGTTCAGTAAATATATTCTATTGTATGTATTTTATTAGTGTGTGCATGTTTTGTTTTTTAACTACAATAAAAAATTTACTTTCAGTTTGCGTGATTGGCCACTAGATGTCACCATAACACATGAAGACAAAAACTACAGTTTTCACATATAAATATAGATTTTATTTTTAACTAGGCATTTATCTTTTATAGCACAAATTTCTAGTGTCAGGATGTTTGTAATTTTTGTGTCGCAGCATGAATGTTTACACAAACAGAAGCGTTTGGTTGATTCCACTGCAGATACGTAGCAAAAAATAGGGGTTAATTCAGAAAACAAGCGCAGTGACATTTTTAAATGTAAAGTTACATTTGTGATATAAAAAAAAAAACAGCAAAAAATATTTGGTGTTTTCTTTTAGTTAAACATGTTTTACTCTTAAGTATTACAAGTGAGATACACGGAAGAAAAAACATTTCCAGTCACTATGGCTGCTGATTGACTGCTGAGCAAGACACTTTTTTGTAAACGTGCAAAATACATTTTACGCTTCTTTAAAATACCTGTGCTTTACAATAGCATGTGGAGCGGTTCTTTATCTGTTATTTAGTATCAAACATCTCGTCATCAAGCATGAGCACATCACATAAGCAGTGTTTGAGAAACAAAAAGTTTTTAACTGAAGTGGTAAAAAAGCTCATTGTTTGCAGCCATAAACTGACAAGGATGGATTCTTCTTAACAGCTTTTGTAGCTCATTGGAATTTAAGACATCTGCATGCATCCATGCCAAAAAGGGGACTCTAAAACAATCAAATTAAACCAGCTGCAAAAGGGAAGATGTAAGCTGAAACATGGCTGATCATCATCTGTGTATGTTTGCAGCCAGAATTAATCCATATCTTCCTCTTATTTGAAAGAAGCGAGAGATATGAGAAAGAGGACTGTGAAAGTGACTGAGGGACACAGGTTGCACTTTTGTGATGCTTTAGACATTGCAGGCCACACTGTGGCTTACATCGCCGTTGACTCCACCTCTGATGCTATTTTCCACATTGGGAACGTCGTAGATTGTGTCGTTGAGCACGTCGTACGTTGTGTCATTCTGCATTTCATCTGCGCTTTCGCTCGCTGTGTCGTGGATTTGGTCGTTGGATGGCTCTATATGGGCAGAAGGCTCCGTTGTTGCCCTCCCCATCGGCCTGCTCTGATGGGATGCTGAGGTACATAAGTAGCATAGGAAGGAGGAGCAATCCCAGAGGCCCTGCGTCATGCTGGAGGAAAAGAGCCTCCGGCAAGGATGGCAAAACTGGTAGAAGACCAGCATGAAGAAGATGGCGATGGCGTAAGCCAGCAGCAGCTGCAGCACAAGCAGCGGGGCGTAGATGAACTCGTAGAAGTCTGTTTTGTAGATGTACCAGAGCAAGAGCAATGAGGCGTTCTCTACAAAGCGCACCATGTAGTACACGGCCATGCGATACCAGTTCTGGGACTTGTTGATGAGGTCCGGGTCGCTCAGCTTCACTTGCACAGCAGACCAGCAGAACATATTGATGCCTGCATAGAGGAAAGTCAGCAGGCACAATACGATGGTGGTCCCCACCCTGGTGAGGGTCTTCTCTATGTTCTCCGGGAACGGAGAGTGACTCTGCCAGAAGAGGATCCAGGGGTAAAAGAAAAAAACCACAAAATTCAAGAAAACCACAGGAAGGACCCAAAGCTGCAGTACGGAGCTGAACAGAACCAGGACCACCACACGTGTGGCAATCTCAAAGCTCCTCCACAGGAAGATGCACAGGTAGGCCATGGGTCCAATATCCACCTCATAGTCATCGTATTTGATCTTAATGGCAAGGATGTTGCATCTCAGTGCTCCGTACACAATGGACAAAAGGGAAATGACCATCAGAGTGCCTAAAAGAAGAAACACATAAGTATAAGCAGCACATTATTTAAAGAACAGGTTTTTTTTTTTTCAAGGACTTCATGCACTTTTCCTCATCCTTTTATCTCAACCATAAACCTGAGTGAGTTCAGGATGGTGCCATTAATACAAGTAGTGAGTGGAAGAAAAATGGGGTTATTAAAGGAATAGTACACCCAAAACATGATTAGCCTTCATTTTCTACTCACCCCCATGCTGAACAACACTCTGGAGTACTTTTTTGATATCTCAAATGCATCTGGAGATCTGGGAGGCTTCTTGCTGTCATTTAAAGTCATTTAGAATGTTTTTAGAGCATAAACAGTAGTGTATAGGATTTCCTGAAAGCGCGTTCACGACGCTACGGAAACCGCGGCAGACCAACCCAGATGAAAGTGCGCATTCAGCTCAGCAAAGAACTCATGCTCTTCCTCAACACTGAAGTCCTCAGAGATTTTTCTTTTGTTGTTTCTTTCTTTGCACAGGTAAACAGCACATTTCTTCTTCTACGCTTGCATTATCGGCAGAGCAGACGCTGAATGCGCACTTTCATCTGGTTTGGTCTGCCGGCTTCCGTAGCGTCATGAACGCGCATGTGCGCGCTTTCAGGAAATCCTATACACTACTGTTTATGCTCTAAAAACATTCTAAATGACTTTGTTTCGAGTAAATTCTGGATGCTACCCACTCAGGACACTTGGAATACATTGGACGAGCAGTATGGAGGAATATTGACACGTTTTTTGTGGACTTTTATGGACCTTTCTGTCTCGGGCACCATAGACCTCCATTATTTGAATGTCAGCAGACAGCAAGAAGCCTCCCAGATCTCCAGATGCATTTGAGATATCAAAAAAGTACTCCAGAGTGTTGTTCAGCATGGGGGTGAGTAGAAAATGAAGGCTAATCATGTTTTGGGTGTACTATTCCTTTAAAGATGTTACAGGTCTGTGAGGGCCAGACATCTTGCTTGCTTGTGTTAACAAATAAAACCTTTAAAAATCCTACAAAGTAATTTCCTTGTTATATATGAATCTCTAATTTCCTTGACTAAATACCCCCTTGCTCAACACAGATTCCCTTGGATATTTAATAAACTGCAGCATGAAACTAGGTCCACGTTTACCCATATTAAATAATTAATCCATATATACCTATCATTTTAAGGGAGCATTCTGACCTGGTGCATTGTCTGTAGAGGGGACAGTGGATTTAGAAAGTATCCCTATGCAAACCTGCAGAGAAGTGGGGAGCAGTGAATACCACACGTTGATAGTGTTCACTGCTCCACTCTAACCTCGTGCTACTCGATAGAATAGAGGTGTTGTTAAACAGCAGCACCGCATGGAGAGAGTGGAATGATGAACACTGAAAAAATCTGAACTTTATTGTGTAATTGCATTCAGAGATCGGTTGTGGTTGTGACGTACGTTAAAGAAGTGTATCTGATTTATTCCAGTCAAAATGGAGTATAAGGAAAATAATGTTAAAGGATGAAATAAGGAATGCTCTGAAGAGGTTTTTAGGTGGCTCTACAAAAGCCGTTTTAGTTTAGCCCGTGGTCAATTAAGCAGCAATCTGTAATCTTCTGTTTCACCTGTCCTTTTAGTGTGAGGGGCAGACCTTGACAGGAAATGTTATCAGGTTGCCAGGGGTAATGGCAGGGAGGCTGATAAACTCTGAAACAATCATTTCACTAAATAAGGTAAAAATGCCCAATGGTTTATTCAATGCCAGCACAGGAATGACTTAAGTTATGCAAAAACTTTATTTCAGCGCAGAACTAACGTCTGCTGGAATGGCATCATCAACAGTGGTTTTACCTGCAAATATCGAGTAGCACTGAAAAGTAGATCATTTTTATTCAATTCAGAGCTTAATGGGGGGAATATTTGACCGCTGGGTGATCTAAAAAAATCATCTTTAATATCTGAAACAAAAGTAGCACACATTGTGTTTTTTTGTATTAATTATTTTTTATACATTATTTTAACTACATAAATCTGCACTAACCATTCAGTCAATTTCCTGAGTTTTTTCACATGGGTCAAATGTCATCGTAGCTGAAGCTCCTCCTTTGATTACGAGGTCTGGGGTGTAAACACTGTGCATCTTAAAGGTATAGTGGAGGATTTTCTTTTTCCGGGTGGGTCGTCAAAATAAGTGGTCGTCCTAATCGTCAATCACTCTGGTGATATGTTTACGTAAGGCCATCCTTCGTGCTCGTCCGGTTAGCTATCTTTTACTGCGCATGCGCACTTTCAGGCGTACATGTGTGGCGAGCTACGGTTTCAGACAGTCATTGAAGCTCACCGTTCTCACGGCATTTTGAATTGAGAAAGCTTCCTGGATGGGAAGCAAAACATCTTCAAATTTGGAAAACAAAGTCCAGTGGTTAGTTTTTTTAAACTTTTAAAACTTATTTGGAATGACCATGACCTGGATGACTGTTTGTTCTTTACTAATAAGTGTTTATGAAATATGGAGATAATCATTTTAAATATTATGTATTGTAACTGCTTAATGTAAACAGTTATAATACATGGCTTGACGTCTCTTGTCTTAGAACGATTGTAACTCAACTCTGTTTTGGAATGTTATTGGTTTGGACTCCCATTTAGGCCACTTTAGGTTTGCATAGGGACCTTAGGGACATGTCCCTACCAAACTTTTGGAGCGACCTAGCTGTCCCTACCAATAATTTGATGTAAATAACATGTTTATAATTTACAACACAGCATTTTTGCAACATATTAGACTACGAAACTAGTCCCAATTAAAAAACAAATTATTAAATATTATGTACGCTAAAACTGCTGATTACATTTCTGTAAAGAAGCAGGAGAGAGTTTTGATATGTGGAACCAATGTTAGCATCTCTAAATAATATTTAATTCTGAAGCATAATACATTTTATAAAAAAAAACTTTTTTCTCTTTTATAAAACTTAATACTTTGTGTAAGGCAGAAGTTCTGAAGACTGCTGGAAAAATGGACAAGCAAAGAATTTAAGCTATCAAAAATCCTGATTCTTAGACACAGCCAACTGAAAAAGATATATCACATATAGATAATCACATATATTGTGATTTTTGGATTATCTTTTCTTAGATAATGTCCATCACAGTTGACATGCACCTATGATTTCAGACCCCTCCATGATTTCTAAATGGGAGAACTT